TTATGGCTGTTTACTATGTTGTGCCTGTTCTATAGCTTCAGGGTTTCTCATTAAGTGAACTGAAGCATGTAGCTGGCTGACTGATGACATCTTGGCTCTTGCCTTTTGTTCTGGGGTTTTATTGTATAGTTGCTTGTAATATTGAAGAACCTTTTATAAGCAAATAACTGTGGTTGTGACAGGTTAAGCATTCGGCTTAAAAAGTTAACGTTCTTCTTTTTTATGTCTGATTAATCCAAAATTTTGGACTTTCCAGTTAATTCTTCTGGCCAAAAAAATAAAAAATAAAAATCAAATAGTACTTTGTTTTTATCCCCCTGCCTAAGGACTTGAAAGAAGTAAGGGGAAAAGAGGGGAAAGAAGCAAGGAATGACCGTTAATTTAGTGTAATAAACATTTTAAAGGGCAAAAAGTTATTTGATGATGAACTAAACTGTTTGCTTTTGTAATTTTTCCAGTCCATATATTCTTAATTGATTAGAAATAATGATAAACTGTAAATCTCATCCCCCCTCAATTGATTTATTCGCTGATGATCTACATTCTCTCGACAGGCGGGGTGGAAGCTTTGGCCTTTTGCACATCTGATCACTTATGGTGTAATTCCTGTGGAACAAAGGCTTCTTTGGGTAGATTGCGTGGAGCTCATCTGGGTCACAATACTTTCAACGTAGGCACATGTTATTTTATGTTGAATTATTGCACATGAATCCATCTGCCATGAACAACACTAAGGCAGTATTGTAATGTTCATATTTTGTTTGGTTACTTGTTAATCCCATGCTGTCATTTCCATATCTGAGTGGTTGTTTGACTGCGAAACCCCATTAACAGGCCTGTTAAGCCCATTTGTTTTTTTTTCCTTCCTGAAACGTATCTATCTTTATGAGTATCTTTTTGATCTGGCAACGATTTTCGTATGAGAACCATCAGACATCAGTAATTTGTTTGGTATGAATCTCAGCCATGTACTCTTCTTTCCATTTTCAGTTATTCGAACGAGAAATCAGAAGCTCGAATAACTGAAGCAGCTGAGGAAGCAACATTATCTAATTCTTCAGACCACCAGCCGCCTGAGAATCAAAGGTATAAACACACCCGCATACTTCCTCTGAAGGCTTCCTGAATGAAAAGAGAAACTATTCAGTGCCTATTCACCTCTTCCTCCATTCATGCATTTTCTACACGTGTGCATGCATTAGCGATCTAATGCATTTGTTTACTGGTCAAGGTTTGCTAAATAACTTAGCCAATAAGAGACATGTAATAGACATATCATAAATTCGTTCTTGGTCTTGTACCCAAAATGTTATGTGTTCCCAAAAAAAACTCCCAATCTCTTACTGAACTGATCTAGTACATCTTGTTGAGTTAATGGCTGCTGCTGCTTGTTTACCTTGCCTACTACCAGGGAAAAATGAGTTGAAGAGATGGAATCTTGGGAAACCTTTATTGGAGGCAGTTACAAGAGTCATCAACCTTGCAAGAACTTTTGATTCATTGTTCAAAGCTTGGAGGAAGATTGAGGGTTACTATCCACTGGTTTCAACCTGCTGTGGCGTAAAACTACTAGTCTGCAAGGGAGTTCACATCCTGCTGCCCGTGGTGTAATGCGCATGTTGCAGAACCAGATCGAGAGATGGATAGATGATTACATAAATACATAAACACAAATCATGTTTAGGCTTGTTCTTCTTCCTAACGATGCATTGTATTGACTTAATCTATCTGCATAAATAAAGAATGCCTCCTTGTATCAACTGGTGGGCGAAATCTAAAACCTCCATTAATAGCAACTGGTGTATATTTTTAGGTTGATACGTCTGTTATAGTTGGTACCAAGACAAAAGCTTCTTGGGCATGAACAAGATTGGAAGCTATTGGCATCTACCTAGATTTGTGTAAAATTGATACCGTTCCGGAAGTATATGGTGAATTCACTTATTCATGTAGCCGGTATGCCTAGTTTAGGTGCTTTCTTTGTATCTCTATATGTAAACACACACACCGATAAAATAAAATCCGCAATATGTAACACACTTCATAAATTATTAGTGATGTAACTCATTTTAATTCAGTGCAAAATAGAGGCCAATACTATAGTTTTATATAAATATAAATATGAGAATAAATTTAAAATGATATTAAATATGATTTTAACTAAATCGGTTCTCTTGCTTAAAAAACTAATCGGTTCAAGCATAAACCCGTTCCGGGTTTGAGCTCAACATTCGATTCCAAGACCAACGATTCAAATGTGCAAAACTGTTGGGAGGTTTTGCTGGCCAATGTGGTAACTGTTAAGACAGAGCTTGACTCGGACCTTAGAGGAAACGGGTTGGGTCGGAGGCCCAAACATTCGTCAGAGCTTCCCTCGTGCCCATTGTTTTTGCTTTTCGGCATCTTCCTTCGCTTACTGGACTTCTTCATCCTCTGCAGTTGTCGGATTTATCTAATTTTGAAAATAAAAATAGATAACAAATCGGTCGTATCCAAAGGCTTCAACTGTGCAATTCGAACTCATGGCGAAACTTGAAGAACTGGATGAATCCAAGTCCAAAATCAAGAAAAGGAATCATGGATCCAGCCGATTCTTCGTCTTCGTTGACTATCTCTTCCTCTTGATCTTTTTCGCATTCTTAGTCTTCATCATTCTCAAGATGATCGGCATTTGAATTCTGATATATGCAGAAGCACGTTGATCTGATCTGAATCAGGTATCCACTATTTTCAATCATTTCTTTTCTTTTCTTTTTTCTTTTTAATTGCCGCACCACTATTTTCCTTTCCAAATTCGTGTTTCTCGTTATTGTTATGTGCCGGTGTAGAGATAAAGGGTACGTCTATCGATTACAATCTTGTAATGTTTGGTGAGCTCATGTTGTAATTTGCAACGCTAATTCTCACATTGTCATTTTCATTCAAATCATGAGTTCAATTAAAGAGTTTATTCTCGTTAATTTTTTCTTCCCATATGAGTGGACATGAGAGTTTTATTTGTGTGTTTACCATGTCAACCTGTATATCTATCATGTTGCTAGAGAACATTGCCATTCTCTATGTATTATGTTCATTATTTTGCTTGTAAGTTAATGAAAAAGAAAGGAACAATGCTTCCTAATTTTAGTTGTTCTGCAGTTGGTTGTGCGTGTGTAGCTGTGTGTTCATGAATTCTTTTTCTCCCTCGAAAGTTTTAACTTGAGAAGTTACAATGTTATAATAATTTCCTTTAGCTTGTAGATTTTCACCAACAGCATTTCTCATCTTGAGATTGTATTTGTGCGTTTGGTAATCTTGCTACTTTTCCTGAGCATGCTTTAACTTGTTTTGTTTACCTTCTCCATCTTTCTTTCTCCTGGCAGGATACTCGTGACATGCTAGGCTCCGATGTGTTGGATGTACTTGTAAGGCGAAAGGGGGTGGTAATTGTCAGTTTTATTACAGCCTAACATGTAATCTAAGTATTGAGAAATATTTGCTCTGTAAATCTGAAGCTTTGGGATTGTATTCCCCTTCTTTTTTGTCTTACATGTAATATTCGTATGTCTCAGATTTACAATTGATGGAATCCTTATTGATGTCTAATACCAATAAGATTATCTAAATTCTACTTGATTTACCTCGACAATGATGAAGAGCTATGGCAGCTGATATCCTGATCAAAATGCAGAGTATAGAACTATAGATTGCGTGGGGAGACACAAGGATCAAAACTGATGGTGACAGGATATACATTTTTCTTTCTCTTGGACATTGAAATGGGATTTCCTTCTGAAAACGATATTATCATTCTGATCCTTGTTTTTTTTTTTTGGTGACAAAGGTATTCCTGATCCTTGTTTTTGAAATCAATACATTTTGCTGTATCAGGGATGTAACAGTAACACCTACGGCCTAGTTTTAATCATTACTTATTAATTGTGATATGCAGCGTTTTAATCATTCGCATAAAATTTCTTGCATGTAAAATTCATGAGTTAGCCTTCTTTTCCTTTTTCTTGTTTCAATTTTTTTTCTGGTGGAGGAGGGGGACCAGGGAAGAGGTATTAAGATTATTTAGGAGCAGGTTTTAATCTCTCTTTTCTCGGGAGGGTTGTGAATGGGGGACACAGACGCAAAACTACTGTTTCGCATGTGATAGACTTTTGGTAGTTAGGTGATGTCACTTGCTTATACATGGCACTGGCACTCCCACCTGTAGCTTTCATTGTTTTCGTGAGCTGATGAAGAAAATTGAATGAGTCTGTTGATTCTAGCAATCTTTGTAATTGGGTCCATGTGGCTGATGTGGAAGTGTGCAACTGAAGGATTCTAATGTACAGAGATTCATTGATAAACTCAATGCCAGGCTCATATGATAAAGAGAAATCGAATGGGAGTGTGAAATCAAAGGGCTCTAAGTTCTAACGCTGAGAAATTATAGATGAGCTCAACACCGAGCTCTATAATATTGACAAGTCATGCAAGTATGTCGCGCACTAATGGTAGTGACAACATCCTTTCATTACTTGATTCTGAAATGAAAAACTGGATGAATTTACCCTGTTGATATTCCTCTTTTTTTTTGGTGATATTCCTCTTGTTTTTTGGTGGAGTACATTTAAAACCAAATCATAATTTTAAAAATAATTTTATAATATATAAAATAAGTATGTGAAAATAGTTATATCTAGGCCTGTTTAAAAATACTTTTAAAAACTACTTTCAAGAAAACCAAACAGCCAATATTCCCAGAAGTGATTGACGTACAGTAAGTAAGGTAGCGGACTGATGGCGAAGGATGTTTCCTTTATTTTGACTAATTCTGGGTAACCCATATTAGTAATACCAGAACAATTAATTTGTACAAGATGTTTTCATTTTAAATTTCTACTTTTTCTCGATGCAATTCATCTGCGTGTGAAGATTTTTAACCCGAGTTGCTTATAAATCACTGGATGATGAAGAATTATGATTCAGGATGCATAACCGGCATCTGCTTTGAGAACACTACGAAATAGCATAAATCCGCAACTTAAGCATCCTTATACCTTATTCACCACAAACTGGAACAAACGACCTTAAAAACTAGAAGTTCCACTCCCTAGGGCACACTTTAATTAAGTAATAGCAGAATCGAGTTCATTCATTCATGCACGATAGCTTGCTAGTTGTAATTGAGTGATCTCAGGGAAGAACAGGTGCCGGAGCTCCACCACCAGGATACGGGACCTCATAACCTGGATTTGGGACAAACGTATCATCACCGCCAGGAACATATCTACGTCCGGTTGGCCCTGAACCCGGTTCGACGCCTCCACCAGTGCTTCCACCATTGTAGGGGAAGTGAGGAAGTTTAAACTTAGGCGGCAGCCCTAGCCGTCCAATGCCATGATCACCAGAGTGAAACAACCACTCTGGCTCTTTCTTGTCCTGGGTTTTGGATTTCTTGGGAACGTGACGTCCTGTAGCAACATTGGCAAGCACGACGTTGGAGATAAGAACAAGTGCAAGGAAAGTGGAAGTGTACTTGTAGGCCATTGCAGGAGAGGAAATCTGTGGAGACATGTTTTTGTGTTGAAGCCACGTTGAGAATGGCTTCAATTTATAATCAGAGTTTGCGATGGAGTTGGATGAAATACGTCGGCGAGTTAAGATGGTGCCATCGGAAATACAATGGGGTCTCTTGGTGGTTGATAATTTGGAGCTTAGTGAAATGGGGTTGAAAATGGCATTGGTATCACTTTATAATACCTTCCAGTTTCGGTAATATTCACCAATGCCATAGCGGCCAGTTATGGAGATCCTAGTCGGCTGATTTATGAGCCGACACATTTCTGCATCGTTTGTTGAAGTTACCTCCTCTACTTAAGTTTAATCTTTAACTATTTTGTGGACAAAAATTTGTAGAGGATTACTTCACGTCCGCTTGCTATTATGATGTGGTCTTCGTGTTCACAGCTGAACCACATATATTTTCATTATTTACTTTGCCCCAACTTCTCTTGGGGCCTTTGCACAAAGTGAAAGAGAGGATTCGGTTCGTTTTTTTATTATGTTGGCAGTATTAGGCTATCAGCCTTCATTATATAAGCTTCTCCATTAATTACGCTGATCTCATTTGCCCATAACTTCTCTTAATTAAAAACTGCAAAATTCCAATCTTAATCTTAAAAACGCAGCATCTAAAATTTTCCATGCAGGCGTATAAAAGTGCTTAAAATCAAGATTTGAATAAAATTTGTCAGGTGTCTACTAACAAATTATTCAATTAAACATATAAACATGTCATACATTGATGGAAGAACGAACCATGTTACAAAATCAGCTAAATTTTCTCCGACAAAACAGTCGCGTCTTTCAATTCACATTTCACAGTATTGCTTGAAGTGTTTGCAGCAAAGCAATCTCAGTTCTTGCCCACAAGCCAACATCCAACAGGATTCAAGTGTTTGGCCTTTCCTCAGAAAATCGAGGAAGCTGAACCAGTGAATTTACACGGGTCACACCTTCCAAACCTGACCAGTTCTGATCTTCCACTGATGACATTGTTCCATCTTCCACGTCCACCGGCAGTCCTCCATACGTCTCGTTTTCATCGGCAGATCTCACGGTGAAGTTCCGGTGCAGAGAAGGCTCGGACTTCTGGCCGTCATCTGATTCAACCGGATTGCCAGAATGGTTGCTCTGGATGGTTGCTGAAGAAAAGCCGGGCTCATCATAATCAGATTCTGAGTCCATCTTCCCATCCAAAAACAGGCACACAACAGCACAGTCATCCATCTTTGACGTTGGATACTTAAGCTTCCACTCCCGAGCTGCAGAATCCACGAGAATCCTTGCAGCAGACGAACGAGTCGGTGCTGAAGCTACTATCTCAACCACCTCTTCATTGCTTAACACATCCCACACCTGAACAAGACAGAAGAATCACTTGTGTAAAGGTAAAAAGAATCAAATAAAAGCAGCATTCGTGTTAAATAGAACCAGTTTTATAGGTTAAATTAGTATTCTGATACCGTAAACTTACTGTTTGATCTGGTCTTTTAAGTTTGTTTCGTGAAACATTAAGGTTTCCGATTCTAACTAGATGTGAGTCATGTGCATCACACAAAGCGAGATGAGTTGCCATGTTTAAAACTCGAGAATAATACGGCTTCTTATAAGTCATATAGATATTGATACTGATCGATAATTCAATATGCAGGGCATCTACAGTAAAGTATTCAACTAAATCTGCCAAATTCACAAACATATATTGTGGTGCTGATATGAAACCCAGTGTGTCTGTTCTGTTACAGTTGAAGATCACTATCCAACTTAACTGGCAAGGAGCAAAAGTAATAAACAAATCAAATCAATAAATAAATTTGATGCCTAAAGTTATTATCATCCTCTATTTAATGATTATTTCGTAGGATATACTGAACTAATAGCTATTTAACTATTTGTTTGTCCACATTATACATGTCCTACTTCATACAGAGAAATGTCTACCTGCAGGGATTGATATTATTGAGGAAACCATGACTGAATTGAATGAACGGATGAACAAATAAATTATTAGAATGAGACCGGGAATTTGTACCCCATCAGAGGCAAGAACGATGAACTGATCTTTGTCGGTAAGCAGCCTATAAGAAAACTCAGGTATGGAAATCACACCATACTCCTTCAAGCAGAAGTCTCCAAATGCCCGAGCCATGGCTAATCCGGGCGCGTCATCGAAAGGCAACCACACTCTGGGAACCTCAGGCTCATCCTGCAATGCAAATACTCTGCCTTTGCACCGTTTAATCCTTTCTGCTTCCCCTTTAAGATTCAACAGAATTAGAATAGATTAGCCTCAACAACAAAGCATAAACTGCACGGGGAAACAATGAATGAAGACAGCATATCACACACTTGGCAAATCAGGCTTCAAATCAACAGTTAACTGAATGGCCACCATGGAATCATTGGTGTCTTTGGATCCCATGATTGCTCGAGAATCCCCAATGTTTCCCATGAACAGATTTGAACCCTGTAAGTGCAACAACTTAGTAAAATAAGAAAAGGGGTAAGCGAAAAGAAGAAGAAGAAGAAGAAGAATCATGTTCAGAGACTTCATCGTTCACACTGATCCATGTACTACCTGCTTCACTATAGTGACAGCCGTGCTCCCACTACAGAAGCAGTCCAAATTTGGATGGGACCTAAGTTCTTTGTCCATTGCCTTATAAGCCTTCATGAAAGCTTCTCTCCAGACAGAATTCACTACATCCTCGGCCGAACAATCCTTCTCACAGACTCCATCATCAGTATTCCCCTTGAAGCAAGCTTTGCCTGAGCCAGATCCATTTCTCTTTGATTCACAAGAGTGCAGAAATGAAAGTAGTTTTACTGGCAAGGTATCCCTCACATTGCGCGCAACAACATGACCATATGGACCATGGCCATCAAAGACACCACAAAAAATAGCATCCTCAGAGATAAAGTCCTACATAAACACAGATCCAAACAAAGATATCTGTATGAAAAACAAGGAAAAAAACTAAGTCATCCTTCAATGATTAAGAAAAAGAATATACTTACTTCCCATACAATCATGGCATCCTGATTGATACCCTTTTTGCCTTGTTGTGTGAATATGCAAGAAGTCCGGCTCTTTCCATTGGTGAAAATTCGATTCGGTAGGGACGGCAGATTCTGAAGAGCAATGACATGATCAGAGAACGTTCTCCTTGTTCTCTTTTGCCCGCAGAAACCTACTTCCAAACAAGATGGAGAGATCGTGTCGCCATTGCTCTTACTACTACAAGTACTTCGACTGCTTGTGGATACGCAACACCCCATTTGATCAACTCCACAAACAAGACATTTGATCCTATGAAATTGAAGTCAAGTTACTTCGATTCTTTTCCACTATGGATCTCACAAACCTCTGAGATGGCAAGCCAAGAATGGTCAAAATTCTGTGACCCTGTTCACACTTCAATGTCGAAAATGGAGTCTTTCTTGCTTGGTCAAATTCGATGATCTGCCGGAGGTTATACGAATGGATGATAAAAACCGCTCATAGAAGAAGACAGGTGAATCAGCGGATAACTTAAGATTTCGAAGATTCTAGCCTGCAGATAAAAAAAATTAAGAAACTCAATTAATCAGATACGGGTGAATTTAAAAATCCTAACGTGAGATAAAGGATCGGAATATACTACCAAGGAAAGAAAAGACCGATTATTCGTCTTTCATCAGAATTGACATCGAAATTATCAAAATGGAAACTTCGAAATAATTTAATCGCGAAACTAAGCGTTAAAATTTTAATTTAAGCAGATGAAACCAGAAAGCAAAACAATATAACCCTGTCGTTTCTAGATTTTTGCAAACCTTACATTTCCCTGTCTTTCATTTTCTTTGAAATTAGATCTCTCAGTTCACATTAAGAAGGAGGAGGAGGAGGAAGAGGAAGAGCAATCTCACAAGAACCCAACTTTTAAGTGGAACAATGAAAGGAAAACAAAATCAAATTGTGAGGTAGAGGTGAGAAAATCAGAACAAATAAACTAGAAACAAACCTACCTGAATGAGATCGTAATGGGAATGGGAGGAAATGCCCACGAACAAAAAGCACTTAATAAGAAACAGAGATATTCTCTGCCTTTTCGTCGTTTACTTCTGCAACAAAGAAGAGCATAAATTTGGTAAATGGACTCTTTTTGAAGAGAGGAAAAATAAAGTGAAGGCAAGCAAAAGAGCACAAACTCATATTTTCTCACTACAGGACGACAAGAGGAAAAGTGAAAAACGCAAAAGCAGAAAAGGACGAAGTAAAGTTATAATCTCGTCAACAAAGACTCCCGCGGAGAGCCAGAATGAAAATGCATTGGAGATCGGGTAAATATTACGTAATTATCTATCATAATGGCAAAAGACCGAAAAGTAGAAACAGTGAACCCAGAAATGTGAATAGCTGAATATGTAATTTTTTTTAATCCCCCCCTTTTTCTGTGAACACAGTGAGTGAGGGTTCAGACTCAGAACACAAACACCAACATAGCTGAACCAGAAGATTTCAATAAACTCTACCAACCCAAAGATTTAAAAGGCAGTAACCTCAACTTGGGAAAGAACACAAATTTCAGGAATTGTAAAATTACAAACATCTCGATAGAAACATGGCACATTGATCAAAACTTGCAGAAAAATAGAAGAAATGAACTGTGTTCTCTTCGGTCCTTTAGGCCCCAAAAGCACAAGCTTCTAACTATCAGCAGCGACCCACCAAGATCTAAATCAAAGCACGCTCATACCCGTTAAGATTTTCAGAGGGATGAAATTGAAATGAAGCATGCCTAAGTAAGAACGTAAGATGAGAAGCGTGATTACTCGAAAAGTGAAGAGAGGAGAGAGGTGAGGGGAAGGCTAGAGGAGATCCATCACCTTGGGAATAGAGAAATGAAGTTTGGAGATAAAAAGATAAAGAGCAGAGCAGCTGAGGAGAATGGAGGCAGGAGAGGGTTAGAGAATTAATAAGGGGTTGATGGTGAGGATGAGGGTGGTGGTGCATTAATTGCGAAAGAGGACATACAGAAACCCAAGGAAGAAGAAAGTGAGAGTTCAAGCACGGAAAGGGAAAAAGAGATAGAGTTGGGCTAATTAATTAGTATAATTGATTGATTTAAATAGATTAAAAAATAAATTAAGTTAATTATTTATAATAAATGTATATTTTTTTTGTTAAAAGATCCTTGTTAATCAAGTGGTTAAAAATATTATTATTAAATAATTATTTGAAAAAATATACATAAATATAAGAGACAAAATAAATTAAACACTTGTATTTAAAATCAAAATAAAAATCAAATTATATTTTATATTAAGCAGTAGCATATATATGATAGTTCGTGAACGAAGCTGCTCATTGGTCATTACAAATTTCAATTTTTGAATCTATTTCATGCTGAGATATGCATATACCCAACACAGCGCGCCTGGCTCGATTTTCCTCATTATTTTGTTTCTTTTCTTTCGTTGACCTAAGATTTCATGAGGCCAAAAACAGCGGACAGAATCCTCTCTAAAAACACACAAAATTGCCACAAAGCTTTGCAATTGCGATTCAACCTTCAAATTATGCAACATATAGAAAGTTTTGAGTCAATTTATATAAAAAATTTTAAGATTAATGTAAATTTTGGTCTCTCAAATTTAGATATAATTTAATATTAGTTCTTGAAATTTAAAACATGTGGTATTGGTCTTTAAAATTACGTCTATTTATATCCGTTTCAAACCGTTGATTCCTGATATCTTGACACTATTAAATTATGCTGATATGACATTAACACCATGATCCATGGAAAGAAGGCCTATTAACACAGCTAACTGTTGCCATGATGAATGATGATTCACAGTAGTTTTTTTTTATTTGATGCGAAATTAAACAGCTGTTTTGTGTTCGGTCCCCTTTGGAATCCTGGCCTTTATATATAATCAATATTCTGTGTTTATATAAAAATTTAATACACTTTTTTCATTTCCCCCTCTAATTAATAAAAAGGTCTCTTTGAAAATAAATATGTATTTAAAAATTATATTTTTTTTACGTATGTATTATTTTTAATAATATCTTGATTTACATGATTTGATTAATTCTTACTTATTGCATCACAAATTATCACATATTATCTATATTGTAGAAATATAATTTAGCCTAGGCTATATTTTATTATTAATGATAATGTTAAATACATAATTTCTGCCGAAGTTAATGTTAAATAATTCCATGCTTATACATGGACAAGTACTCTTGTTATTATCATCATTGTCGATATAATTAAAAACGCGAGGACATAATTGATATAAAAATGAAATGAAGACACTTGAGAACAGAAAAGGTAAATTATATACTTATAAATTGAAAAACATAAAATAAATATTATTTAGTAATAATTAATAAATGTATAAACATAATTACGAAAATGATGAAATAAACAATTCACAAAAAAAAAAATCAAATAAACAAGAAAAGTCAGATGGACGCGCTGCGGAAGGGCAGGGAAAAGTGGAGAAATGAAGAAAGACAGAAAAGCACGCGTCCACTGACAGATACATTGGGCCACGTGACGTGGCAGTGAAGCAATTTTTTAAAATATTACCACTTTCAATTTTAAATACTACTCCCTCCGTCCTTATTATAAGAGACAAATAACCGAATTACGTTGATCAAAAAAGCAGTTAAAATTAGTTAAGAACCATCAATGTGTAAAAAATATAATTTTTTTCCAAAAATGCCCTCATTAATGAGAGAGAGAGTATGAGAGAAAAACCATTAAATTATTGAAAAAAAGAGAAGTGGGAGGGAGAGAGAGTGTGAGTTGGAGACAATAAATATGGGTAAAATAGGAAATCAACACAAAAAAGTAGAGACAACTTTTAAGTGTCTCTTATATATAGGAACATGCCATAAGCATCAAATGTCTCTTATAATAAGGAACGGAGGGAGTAATAAACAAGAACAATTAAAAATTATTCAACTATTTTTTGGGAGTAAAAAAGTTAATTATGTTATTAAATTAAATTTAAAAATTAAATAAAATTTTATCTACATTATTCATTAATATTATAAAAAAATAAGATCATTTTTGCAGAAAAATTAAAAAAAATCCTAAAAATCACACAGAATGACTTATACTCATTTAAAGTCATTTTTTGTTAAAGAAAGAAAGAAGTACCAATAAAACAAATAGTCAAATTCACAAAAAAAAAAAAGGGATTTTTGTCGTTCTATAATTGTTTTTATATTATGCTTGTCTGCACGGCAGTTTTCTTTGTTTAATTTCCTTTTCAGCATCGGATGCCTAAATTAGTACTCTATTATAAGAAATTGTGATGGAATATTTTTGAGTGTTTATGCTTCAAACGAATGAGTCGTATATGTTTCGTTAACTTGTAAAATGAAATATAGAAGAAACATTCAATGATTCTTAATACGAAATGGGCCCCAAAAAAAAAAGGAACAACTGTTTTGTTTCCTTTGAATGTGAGTTAGTGCTTGTCTAAGGTCATCATAGAAATTCTCTGTAAGTACGTTCCATATAAGTCAAAAGAAAACTCTTTTCACATACTTATCTTGTATTTCATAAATTATTATTAAAAAGTTACTTATAAGATGTTCTAAACGGGTTCTTAATTAGCCTAGTTGCTCTTTGAATCCTTTCAATCTATGTGATAGAATTCGCGGTATCTTTTTTTTTTTAAATGCATACATAGATATAAAAATAATATTGCCCCCTTTATCAATGCACATAGATATAAAAATAATATTGCTCCCTTTATCAATGCTACTCAGTCGTGTATATATTCATTTACCCAACTAATATGACTCATTAAAATTATTATATATTTTATCTTTTAAATAACAGCTATAAGTTAAGAGAAGTATGTGTGGTCTATTGTACGCGAAAAAAAATCACATGAGCCGAAATTGCCCTCTAATAATAGTTTACAGAGAGTACTTAGCAAGAAAAATTGCTTAAAATAAGATAATATTTATTTGAAAAAATTAAGAATGCACTTAATAAAAATTAATGAGATGTTGTTAGGTAGGAACGTCAAAGAATGGAACATCAGAGCAGGGGTGGATGCCTGTATTTTGAAGTCAAGAGCGTGATGGAGAGTTGGCGTTGACGAGTAATGAAGGGAGAGGGGATGACGAAAGAAAAAGGGCTGTTTATTACAAAGTGGGGGAAGTCAACCAAACATTAGACCCATAATTGATGTCCTTAATTATTAATCATTAATTAATAATAAATGTGCATGTCTCGCTATATCCATCCATCTCTATTCAAACACGCCCCCATGCGTGCATGCTGCTCCTATACGCTAGCCTAATTAAGCTCACATCATCTCTCCTATTTTATATGCACATAATTAAGTGGTATTTTTTTAAATAAATACGGATATTCTTTTATTCAAAATTAAATTCGTCACATTGTGCCAGTTTCATTAAAGTCGACCCTTATTAGTAACTAGGTTGTGTTTTTATATCAAACAGACCAAGACGCCCCAATTATGTTCACCACATGCCCCTTGGTCACCTAGCTTTGTTTGTGTATAAGGGAGTGTAATGATTTGTTATGGAAACATGGCATTAATAATTATCAAGAAAACCAGATTCAGACACTACATGGTTTTATGTGATTCGTAGAATTGCTCAAAGGATAGTATCGTACGTTAAGGAGGTATAAATACGGTCGGTGTGTATGGGGTACAATTTGTGCCAGTAAATGTGACAGCAGTGAGAATTAATTAATCCAAACTTACAGATTATTTGTGGTCGTGGACTCAGAAATATGATCCCATTTATTTGGATGAGACGACGAACCTAAAAATCATGTATGGACGTCAAAAAGAAGAATTTCTTAAAAATTCCTATAATGTGTGTGCTTAAGAAATGTTGCCAACAAGAACAATTCAGCTCCCCTGAAACGATTTTAAACTACTCACAAAAATTACGATAGATCAATGAAGAAATTTTAGGGATACGTGGCACCGTGGCAGTTAAATCTATGTTTCACTTTGGAACAGGAATTGGGACAAATATTTAATGCATGTTTAAAATGGTTTATAAATAATTTTTTAATTATGATTTACAGAATACGGGATAAGTATGTAAATAAAATTTTATTTTAATTTAGATAAAACATATTTATAAGTTATTTAAAGGGTCATCCAAACAGGATAATAACATTGTTATATACAAATGCATTATGATCAGAACACTTTTTCATCTTGGCCAAAACCCGAACGTTGTCAAAAACCGCCACATTTCAATGTACTTCTTACCCCGCCAACTGATTTTTTTTTTTTGGAAAAAAAGAAGAAGAGTTATATATATATATATATATATATATATATATATATATATATATATATATATATAGGGAGGGAGGGAGGGAGGAGGAGTAGGGGCTCAATGCATATGAAAACATGGAGCCGTATGGTCATGTTCTTGACACATGAGCCCAGTGCTTGGACGTTAACATCATCAGTCTCTTCCTTAGGCCTTAGGAGGCGATTTTAGAATCGTTTAAAAATAAATGCTTATAGATAAGTTAAAAATAAAATTCTTCTTATACATTTATTTATTTTATATACTACAAAATTATTTTCAAAACGTTAATATAAACATTCCCTTAGCCTCCTTTTGTTTTCATCCCAATTTACCGGAATGTTTGATCGTGATAAACTCCTCCACATGTTTATTTCGTATACCGTAAAATTATTTTTAAAATTATAGTTTTGAATCTATCTAAACGTCCCGTACATCCTCTTCCTCTTATTTACTATTCTTTTCGTATTAATCCTACTTGTATTTTTTTAAAAATTGAATTCCCACTTTATCATATTAATGAAACCAACTCATTTAGCTGCCTCAAAATTGAAATTTATGCAAGTGGCCTTTAAAAAGCGTCTCACACTTTGCACAATGAAAAACAAATAAAAAAAATTTAAAAAGTGGA